TTCTGGCAGATTGGCTCTTAACAGAGTCAATATAATTTCAGATCCGTCTTGTAGCTGTGGTGCTAAGCGTGAAGATTCATTTCACTTCTTTTTTGAATGTCCTAATTATACGAATATAAGAATCAAACTATCTAATAATCTGAACTGGTTACCAGAGAACTCTCTACTAAATTTGAACATCTAAACCTCCGGTGATTCGTCATTAACTAATGATGAAAATGAAAGAATTGTAAAGAATGTATATGAATTTATTAAATAGTCAAAGAGGTTTCTAATTGTGTAATACAGCACACTAAAGTGCATATACATGTATAATGTGTACAACCACTCACATCATCACACATCATCTTTTTACATATCCAATATATATAATGTATTGTTTGCATGCATGCTTTGTAAAAAATTCTATTGTTATAAATTGTTCATGGGAGAAGACTTCATAAGTTTGATTAACTTGTGTCTCATCCCTTTTGCATATTTAAGCAAATAAAATATGTTTCAACTCAAAAAAGGAGTAAAACAAGTGGGGATGTGAGAAATAAGGGGTGAAACAAGTGGGGATGTGGGATATAAAGGGTAAAACAAGTAAGGATGTGGGATATAAGGGTAAAACAAGTGAGGATTCGGGATACAGAGGGTAAAACAAGAGAGGATGTGGGATATAGAGGATAAAACAAGTGATGATGTGAGATATAGGGGTAAAACAAGTGGGGATGTGGAATACAGAGGGTAAAACAAGTAGGGATGTGGGATATAAGGGTAAACAAGTGAAGATGGGGGATATAAGGGGTAAACAAGTGTTTCAACTCAAAAAGGGAGTAAAACAAGTGAGGATGTGGGATATAAGGGTAAAACAAGTGGGGATGTGGGATATAAGGGTAAAAAAAGTGAGGATGTGGGATATAAGGGTAAAACAAGTGAGGATGTGGGATACAGAGGGTAAAACAAGTGGGGATGTGGGATATAGGGGTAAAACAAGGGGGATGTGGGATATAAGGGTAAAACAAGTGGAGATGTGGGATACAGAGGGTAAAACAACTGGGGATGTGGGGTATAGGGAGTAAAACAAGTGAGGATGTGGGATGTAGGGGGTAAAACAAGTGGAGATGTGGGATATAGGGGGTAAAACAAGGGGGATGTGGGATATAGGGGTAAAACAAGTGGGGATGTGGGAGATAGGGGGTAAAACAAGTGGGGATGTGGGGTATAGGGGTGAAACAAGTATGGATGTGGGATATAGGGAGTAAAACAAGTGGGGATGTGGGATATAGGGGGTAAAACAAGGGGGATGTGGGATATAGGGGGTAAAACAAGGGGGGATGTAGGATATAAGGGGTAAAATAAGTGGGGATGTGGGATATAAGGGGTAAACAAGTGAGGATGTGGGATATAAATGTAAAACAAGTGGAGATGTGGGATACAGAGGGTAAAACAAGTTGGGATGTGGGATATAAGGGGTAAAACAAATAGGGATGTGGGATATAGGTGTAAAACAAGTTAAGATGTGGGATGTAGGGAGTAAAACAAGTGGGGATGTGGGATATAAGGGGTAAAACAAGTGGGGATGTGGGATATAGGGAGTAAAACAAGTGGGGATGTGGGATATAGGGGGGTAAAACAAGTGGGCATGTGGGATATAGGGGTGAAACAAGGGGGGATGTAGGATATAGGGGTAAAACAAGTGGGGATGTGGGATATCGGGGTAAAACAAGTATGGCTGTGGGATGTAGAGGGTAAAACAAGTGGGGATGTGGGAAATAAGGGGAAAAAGTTAAATCTATTAAAAGGAAGAGGAAAAAAGTGGGAAGTGGGAAACAATTTAGATAGATCTGGGAAAAGCACGAAAAGAGCACACCCTTGATATTTGCCTTTGTAGATATGTGTTTACATTTTGTTTATCATATTTTCTATCGGATTAAAACTTTGTATAATCAATGTATTGTCTAGATTCCTTAAGTTCTTTTGTTGTTTTGCTCTTTTTTAGCTAATTATGCTACATTAACTTTAAAAAGCGAAAAAACAGACGACAAATTATTGTTCTAGGAAACCTAAGTTGCCTAAAACGTTTTGTCATTGTATTTTATTGTATTGTTGATACTGTTATATTCATATAAATTGTTGATAATTTGAGTTTTAATCTTATATAAGTTTTTGAATGTAATTGAAGTTTTATTTCAGGGTAAAATATTCTTGACAACCGATGTTATAACAATGCCCCCGTTATAAAATCTAATAAAAATATGGACAACAGAAGATATATGGAAATACTTATTTGGAATTAATTTACCATTCAGGCACTTGATTCGATTATAATTAATGCATATTTCTTTCCTTAAATAGATAAATTGCATTGATCATGTTGATGTTAGATAGATACTTTTACATTGTATTTCAGCGTACTATATGGAAAAGAGTTCAGGACTAGATAAGCAGATACAACAATTGGCATTAAATACTTCCGGTTTAGAAAGACAAGTTCAGAGGTTGTCAAATCAATTGGGTAAAATACACTACCATTTAAATGATATTTCGAGTCATGTTGGCTTTATAGACCTTTTATTTTTTAATCAAATTTATTCTATTAATATACAATAGATTCTACTAAATTTGCAGACACCATTATAATGCCTTATTCTAAAGGGAAGCAGCTTTCACTCTGAATTCAAGTCGCTTAACATATATTTTAAAGTTATTTCTACATTCTGGCTTTGCACTAGCTTTCAGTAACTGCGAGTACTTTATATTGTTCCTTTGTGTCAATTGTTTTTTAGTTCTTTTTGTGTCACGAACCGATCTTTTGACTTAAGCCAATTGCAACTGATTTTTACATGTTTAACACTGCCACATTCTATATGTGCCTACCTCAAGTCAGAATCCTGTAATTCAGAGGTTGTCGTAAATAAATTTGTTATAAGTTAGGTTGCTAGTTTTCTCGTTTGAATTGTTTCACATTTTTTTTATAGCCGACTATACAGTATTGGTTTTTCTCACTGTTGAAATCCGTACGATGCCCTATAATTGCTTATATCTATTTCATTTGAACTCTAATGTATAGTTGTCTCATACAATGGCAATCATACCACATCTCTTTATTTGATATTAAAGGTGAAAAAGGACCAATGGGAGAAAAAGATGGAAATGGTACAAAAGGCTCAGCTGGTGAGATAGGTAAAAACAGAGATGTAGGAAAAAGTGGTCGGAAAGGCATAATTGGAGACAAAGGTGCAGTTGGCACAAAAGGTCCAAATGGAGACAAAGGTGCGGTTGGTGAAAAGGGTCACAAGGGCGAAAGAGGCCTAACTGGTCTACTTGGTCCTACCGGAAGCAGAGGATTAGCTGGAGAAAAAGGACAAACAGATGATAAAGGTCAAAATGGGGAAAATGGACTTCCTGGCTCAAATGGTGAACATGGTGAAAGGGGTATCAGAGGTGACAAAGGCTCAATAGGAATTATCGGTCCTATTGGAAACAAAGGCCAAAGAGGTAAGACTATAAAAATAAGTTCAAGTTGAATGATTAAAGTACATGATCTGTTTGATTAACTATGTAGATATAAGAAGATGTGGTATGAGTGCCAATGAGACAACTCTCCATTCAAGTCAAAATTTATAAAAGTAAACCATTATAGGTCAAAGTACGGTCTTCAACACGGAGCCTTGGCTCACACCGAACAGCAAGCTATAAAGGGCCCCAAAATTTACTAGTGTAAAACCATTCAAACGGGAAAATCAACGGTCTAATCTATATAAAAAACGAGAAACGAGAAACACTTATGAACCACATCAACAGACGACAACTTCTGAACATCAGATTCCTGACTTAGGACAGGTGCAAACAATTGCAGCGGGTTTAAACGTTTTAATAGTACCAATCCTTATATATCATAATAGACGAGTTTCAAACGCGTGCATTTTCCCTTACGTTTCCCATGTAACAGTAATTATATTATGAAGTATGAAACGATTTTTTATTGACGTTATTTACGCCGATTGACCTCGAGTCAACCGATGTTACTCATTATTCATATAACACAACTCGAGATTGGTCTATTAAAAATATAGTTTGATAGTTTATATACCAGAAGACAGTTGTTGATCAATTTAAATAAAAAAAAATCATGAAATATGTTTTATGAGTTGAATGTCACATATCTGAAAAATAATTCATTTGCCTTTATATATATACACATATTTTAATAACCCGTTTTTCATTATAATGAATATTGTAATTCATTTTTATTTAATTCTGAAAAGGGAAGTCCGGACTAGCGACAAAATCATACGTTACTAAAGTATCTATTTGTCTTATTGCCCTTCTCAAATTCGTTGTCGGTCTGATAATTACTTTAAGTATACAAATTTTACATGTTTAAAACATACTTTATATAAAAATAAGAAAATGTGGTATGATTACCAATGAGACAACTCTCCAAAGGAGACCAAATGACACAGAAAATAACGACTATGGCCTTTATATCCATTTCAGAAATACTTCTAGGAACAAGTAAAACAGAAACTTGATGATATAGAATGATCTGAATAAATGTAGCAATATTATAATCTTTATTAATACACGTTATTTTATGAACAATTACATTGAAAGTTTTAAGTACAGTTTAAATCCATATTACGATGTGAATTCATAAATATTTACAAAAGTTATATGTGAACATATATTGGGGAATGTCTTTTTTTCATTACATAGTTTGTATACATAAAATGTGAAAGTGAACATACAATGATGTTGACTAATTATTGTAGACCAAACAAAATATTGATTACAAATTATATACTTTTTATTAAACATAATGTACATATGTTATGTTGCACGTGAGTACGACTCTTTTGGGATGCTATTTATGTTTCACAGAAATCTACGAGAAGAAACCCAGATATAGAAAAAGCCATCTAAAGTAAACTTTGCCTGGTTGAGTTGAAACCTTAATTTCTAAATAATGTATAAATGGGTTACTCTTACTATCAATTGCAGGAGAACGAGGACAAAAGGGTGAAAAAGGAAGCCCTGGAGAATCAGGTATCTAAATACACTATCATGTCAATAAATATAGAACTGTTAAATTCTTGATTGTAATCAATTAGAAACGGTAACATCCAAAGCTTTTCATGATGAAACTAGAATGTTCCTATATATTAATGAGTATTGAATAAAAGTCAGTGTGACAGTAACCGACCAACTCGGATTTCTATCAATAATTGTATGCAAAAGGCAATATGACAGTTATCAAACAACTCAAAATTCTATCAAGGAGTGCTGAACACGTCAGTATGAAAGTAACTTTACAATTCAGATTGAAAACAATAAGTTTGAGAAAAACATCAGTGTGACAGTAATCCAACAACTCAGAATTATATCAATGAGTGTTGGATAAACGTCAGTGTGACAGTAACCAACAAATCAGAATTATATCAATGATTGTTGGACAAACGTCATAACTTGATTAAATGTGTATTCCAATTGCATAGAGTTCAATAGAAAAATGAACTCGTAATAACAACACTGCGCTTCATGTGTATTCTAGACTAGACGTCATCAAACTAACCATCAACATAACCTCCGATTGTAATATGACCTGATTAATACATGCATATAACTAATAAATAAACCAACTGATAAAAAAAAAACAAACACGTTCAAAGGTATATTGATGTTTTTTTAGATCTGTCTGAATACATGTAATAAGTTTTAAAAAATATGTATATCATCATTCTTTCTTTATAAGAACTATTTTTTTGTAGGCTAGTTCAGTCAACGAAATAAAGTTTTCTAGTGGCTCTCTTGTTTCGTTTTCAATGTTGACATCCTTTTGATGCTACTCACTCAACAAACTAAACACATGCGCAAGCCACCTCGAGTTAAGGTTCAAACAAATTGCAGAATACATAGTATTTAAATGAGTTTGAATAATTGACTTCCAAGCCAATAATACATCCATAACGTTTCACACTGGTTCTCCGTTAAAGCGCTAATTTTATGACGTTAATTTGTCCCACCGTAAGAAAGCAAAACTAACGACTTCGAGTTATATATATCCGTAGCTTGTTATACTTATATCTGAGATTTTTATATTTCTTTATTATCTATATTTTTAATTTTTATAAAGTTTAGTACATGTTGCACAACGATAGTGATCGGTACACCGGCCGTCAAAATATTTTTTTCGTAAACCTGTAATTTCCGTTAACGGAAAAAAGACCAAGCAGGACAAAATATTAAGCACAACATTGAGTGTGATTTGAGTTAAATTTGACTATAAGATTACATAAATAATTTTGTTTATAACAATGGTCATTTATTCCAAATCATATCAGTCTGAAAAACTAAACAAAGTTGAAAACTGCAGAGATTTGTTAAGCATGTGATCTCCGTGGAATGGTCTATTCTAAACAAACACCTATTTTAAAAATAAATTTTACATCCAACAGATCGATATCGTTGTCAACATTTAATTTTAGGGACTCATCATTTTTCATCTGGGAAGGGGGGGGGGGGGTCAAAATGCAGGGGGGATCAAGTTTTTTTTTTCTGTATGTGGACAAGGGGGGTTCAATTTTTTTTATAAATTCAAAGTCGGGGGATCAATATTTTTTGCACTTGGAAATAAGAAGTTCACATACTTCAAGAGACAAAATGTCAAGAAGAACATTACAGCAGTCAAATTGAAAGATATTTTTAACACCATTCATATACAATTAAGTAAGATACCACAAGACTTTGGTGATGTAGGAAAGTGCCATTTTGTGTCATTTTGTCCTATATAAAATGCATAGGTGCTTCATAATCCGAATAAATTAGTTGTTATATTTTACTCACGTCGATCACTAAATTAACAAGCATTATTGCCAATGTATCTTTTGTTTTCATTACAAGAGCCCTTTGGGTCCATTTATACCTCTCACTCCCTCAAAACTTGTACTTTTTAGGCTAATAAATCAAAAATTTGAGGTTACTATCACACATTTATGAATGAACTGTGACAATAAATGAGTAATTGAATTGTTCAAGCTGAAAGCATGAACTATCCATATAAAAGTTTAGCGACTCAATGGAGGTTTCAATAAGGCCATACGTAAAACTTAAGTTTAAGCAGCGTTCAAGAGAGGGACATATAAATAATGTGTTGTTACTGTTTCAAAAAGTTTACTTTTTAATGTATATTTTTACAGAGTTACTCAGAATCAAGTTTTCTTTAATAGCCCAATATAGGAAATTAGAAAAAAAAATCAGAAAAAGCTACTCAAAGCACTGGCTTGCTCTACCTACTAATATTCATGGAAGAGGCCTCATGCAATGGGAGAGCCCTATTTCAAGGCAATTTTCCCTCAAATAAGTTTTGGGATTCAATCCACTGAGAATATTTCATTTTCAATATTTCCTTGAAATAACATGATAAGTGATTTGCATGTTAAAATTTTGGCATGTTTAATAGAGGGGGGGTCACATTTTTTAAATGTTTTTACAGGGGGGATCAAATAAAAATAGTGAAATATTATGGGGGGGATCAAGAAAATTTGTATTTATGATTTCAAAATAACCAGCCCCCCCCCCCCCCTCCCAGGTAAAAAATGATAAGTCCCTTAGTACAAATTCTATCTTCAGATGTATACGTATTAATCTTCGAAATGTAACCTCCGTGGAATGTAATCTCCGTTGACGTTTTGGTAAAGAGTGCTTTCTATCACGTCCGCACTTCTATCGAGTATGGCATGCCAAATAAACATATTAGATAATTATTACGGATGGCGAATATATAGCTTACAGATCAATAACATACATTGTAATTATAGATATAAGAAGACACCATGTGACAATTTTTATTAATCAATTGTTTTAGTGTAACACAGTTGCTTTTTTCTCAGACCTAGAAAAAAAACGAACCGGATGATTTTATAGAGAATAATACATGGCAAAATCCGTATCACATGCCGTATCATCCCGAGATACCAACATCAGCCAGAGGGATGATACGGCATGTGATACGGATTTTGCCATGTATACGCTTTATAACAGATTTAAACAGGAGAGTATGTAGGAACTGCTTACTGATCTAAAGCACCTGGGTTACCTTCAGATTTATTCTTTTTTGCCATGTTTTAAAAGTTTTATCATATATAGGAACTGCTTATTGGGTTACCTTTCAATTTAGGTCCTGTTGTCCATAGAAATATTTTGCTTATTGTATTTTTTGTTTGTTTGTGTTTTGTATGGTAGTTCATTCAGTTCTTTTTATCCTCCTTTAGTAATGTTGTACTATATAAAACACATTCTGAATAAAACATGTTCATAAAAAAATAGCAACAATAAACCAACAATTTAATAACAAGTTTACTGTAATAAATAAGAGACTACTTTGAGACTGGTGAGTAAAATGTGCGGTTTTAAAATATAAAAATCTAGTTTAACAAACATCGGACTTCGTGTAAATTTAGTCAGAATCACTACTGTCATAAATGAGAAATCCAAATAGGGGTGCGATAAAGGGTAGACATGTGATAATGGGTGCGCATCAAAGTTGAGCGATACGGATTAAACAGCTGGCTATTTATCAAATATTCAAAACTTCTGTATTTACTACTAAATATAAATTATGATACATATCAATATTAATGCAAGTACATAATTTTAACCTGTTTTCAATATTCAAGATATGTAACGTTTATTATTAATATAAATTTGATACCGAATTTAATACGATTTAAAAATTATGCAAGTAGCCATTAAAATTGCTCTGCTTAATGAGTTTTATATCATGTTGCACAGGGAAACAAGCTTTTAAATACTTTCTTTCATTTAAATGAAATTACGACGTCGGCTGAGAGGGTATGGTATATATTGTCCGTTACAGTTATTAACAACACCTTGTACAAAAATTCTTTTCGAAAATTAAAACAGTTAAATAATAAATAAACGATATAATGAAATTTGATGCGACTGTCATACAAGTGAGAGGTTTAGTGCTATAAAACCAGGTTCAATCCACCATTTTCTACATTTGAAAATGCCTGTACCAAGTCAGGAATATGACAGTTGTTGTCCATTCGTTTGATGTGTTTTATCATTTGATTTTGTCATTTGATAAGGGACTTTCCTTTTGAATTTTCCTCGGAGTTCAGTATTTTTGTGATTTTACTTTTTAAATAGATCAACAAAACTATCCGTCACAATATAATATATATGACGGTCTGGATTAGGGGAGGGGGGTCTACATTTCTGTATTCTGTAATTCTGTAGGCCATTTTTCTCTATTCAGTAAGAAATATGATTATTCTGTAAAATTCTTGTGTTCAGATCCTGCATATGAAAATTTCCTGTTGTATCATAATATTGACATGATAAATCTTCTTGTCTGTATCAACGACATACGTATGACGACACTACCCCGCACCCCAACCCCATTTTTTTAAAATCTGTCACTGTACTGCACAAATGATACCATTTACAATTTTGATTAATATCTGAATATCTGATTAAAACCAAACGGGGGAGAAAAAGACCATTTCAATTTCTTCGTGATAATTTGGATATCTTTGATAATAAACAGAAGTTAAGTTGACATGATGTATATTTGATCATATTTTGTTAGTCATATGAGGTACTAGTACTGAGAAGCTGCATTCAGTTTTATAACAGAGACAGTACCGGTAGTTAACCGACATTAAGAGAAATCTGAAATCCGATAGAGACTAAAAATTCAATCACCAGAACTAGATTTTATCCTTGATTGCCCTACTGTCCAACAAAATATTAAATCATTGCCTATTAATCAATTGTTTTGGAGAATATTAAAATATATTTAACATTTATTGGTACAAAAAATACCCCCAAAAAATCTAAGACAATGTCATCCGTTCTCAAGCATCAGTCTTCCAACCCTTACCATTAAATTGTTTGTTTTTTTTTTAATTATAATGAGTTATGGATCTTATAAATATGAAACTGAAGATGCAGGAATTATGTCGACGAAAGAGCCGTTTTATTTCTGCAATTCCTTTCAATTCCCTTTAATTATCCATTGATAAATTTTGAAATTATAAAGAAACTAAGGTTTCAACTCCATCGGGCAAAGTTAATCTTCGAATGATTTGGCTATTTTTTTTTATGTCCTTTTTGGTCATATGGCTCATCAACTCTTTCTGTTCTTTTACATCCTTGGCTTTCAAATATTCGGCGCTGGGCGTAAATGATGAAGATAAATCCAAAATAGAGCTTTGGAACGAAATGATACGTTAACTCGTGCAAGATCGTGATTTTGGAGAAAAATACCGATGCTTATGAATGTATATAATTTGCATCGCTTATTTCAATAAACCATTTCCGATTACGACCAGTTCAACATTTCATTCCAAATGATCTACTTGTCTATTGTCAATTATCAATAATAAATTTGATATGCAAAAAAAGCAAAGTTTCATTATTCTGTAAATTATTTATTACTGAAATCAGTATTTTCTTTACCTTATTCTTATAATGTTTATACAATTATTTTAATTACACCCCATTATTTTCTATTCTTTATTTGATTGCCTATTTTTCTTCATTCTTTATTTTTTAAGGAGGGGGGGGGGGGGGGGGGGCATTATTTTCTATTCTATAAACCACCTCATATATCTTGGGTTATTTCAAATAAATATCAGATATTCAAGCGGAATAGGATACATAATACTACTGGGCCTCGGTGGCCGAGTGGTCTAAGTAGTTACTACTGTAATCACTAGCGAGTCAACACTGAGGTTGTGAGTTCGAACCTCGCTCGTGCGGGTGCACTCGACTCCAATCTTAATTTACTAGGATTGTCAGTTTTCCTATCGAAGGTCGGTAGTTTTCTCCGGGCACTCCGGCTTCCTCTACAAATAGAAACTGGCCGCCACGAAACAGCCCAAAGGCGGCGCTTAAAAGTGGCGTTAAAACACCAAAACAAATCAAATCATTATACTACTAGTATAAAAGTATCTACAAGGAGAAGCTGTTTAGTTGGTCGTTTTTAGTGGTCTCTTTTAAAATTAAAGTCGGTGAGATTAATTTGCTGCAACCAACCAACAAAGAGGGTTGCCTACTATGAATAAAAAATCTATAGAAAATGTTTTTATATTTTATTTTTCGCTGTTTGTTGTTGTTTTTGTCGTCTCACTCTCGTCATGGTTTTGTTTATTTTTATAAGTGTTAACTTTGGGTTTTTTTAAATTCTTTTTTAACGACAACGCATGGAATATCTTATTTATTGTTTGAAAATTCTTCTCTCGGTCATAATTCTGCATGAAATATCTGCCACTGTACGTTCAGAAAACAACAATCAATCAATCATTATTCCTCTAAAATTGCAGTATTGTAATAACTTTAAACATTATCAATAAAAGTGATTCGTTTAATCCTTTGATCTGATATAAACACGTCTCATCACTCTCCTATATTAACATTTCTAATTTCCGATACCAAGGAAAAAAGTATTATTGAATATCAAAGGAAGTAACCTATCAAAGATTCAAGGGTTGTGTTTCGTCTACAAAAGAAAATTCTTAGTTATTCAAACTATTCAAAGCAAGGGATGAATGCATTATACGCCATTCTTGTGCATTTTGAAAATATTTATAAATATGACCACATCAATGATAATTCATGGTAACACAGATTGGCAAACTAGATGATGATGATGATGATGGTGAGGTGAAGGAGGAGGAGGGGGAGGGGAGGAGGCGCGAATTATATGCATATTCGGGTCGAAAGCATGTTAATACGATATTAATATTTATTCTGCTTTGTACAAGACCAACACGCTGAGTCGATTTTTTTTGGCGTACTAGTTCACAAGCAAACAGTCCACAGGAAGATTATCACCTTAATTTGTGTTAATTTCAACTCACAAGAAAAACGCACATAAAAGTTTTTGAGAATTAATAAAGATAACAAAACACCGTAAAAATAATGATTTCAAAGTTTTTAGCATTTTCGGTATTGAAAATCACGATAACGACGAAAATCAGATAACGACGTCAAAGGAAATAAAATGACGTTAAATGTATTTTTTTGGCATTTTTTCATCTAAACTCTCTCGATCATTACAAATTGACGGTAGCATATTACATGCTGAAATTGATATGTTGGATAGAATATACTATGAGGATGTTCCATGTTCTTTATTTACAAGTTTTGCTGCAATTTATATTTTATCATTGTTTTACTCGGACGTTGGGCGCTTTACCGGAGAACCAGTGTCCAGCGCTTATTTTGTTAAAATTGAACCGAACTGACTGCCAGTAAGACAATATTTATATTCCGGTTTCCTATAAATGTTAGAAACAAATAAATCCATATTTTATTTTTTTCATCTGAATTACCCTTTAAGAATCGTCTTCTAGTTAATTCGTTTAACATTTCGACCCAGCAACATATAATCTGAGAGATCCCTTTCAAACGAATTCGCAAATCTATCGTATTCAAGACTTTGTGTAGTCTAGTGTACACATGTATCATACATTCAAAGGTCAACCATCATATATCTGCTCTATTGGTTTGTGTAGTCTGTCGTAGACATGTATCATACATTCAAAAGTCAACCATCATATATCTGCTCTATTGGTTTGTGTAGTCTGTCGTAGACATGTATCATACCTTCAAGGTCAACCATCATATATCTGCTCTATTGGTTTGTGTAGTCTGTCGTACACATGTATCATACCTTCAAAGGTCAACCATCATATATCTGCTCTATTGGTTTGTGTAGTCTGTCGTAGACATGTATCATACCTTCAAAGGTCAACCATCATATATCTGTAGTCTGTCGTAGACATGTATCATACCTTCAAAGGTCAACCATCATATATCTGTAGTCTGTCGTAGACATGTATCATACCTTCAAAGGTCAACCATCATATATCTGTAGTCTGTCGTAGACATGAATCATACCTTCAAAGGTCAACCATCATATATCTGTAGTCTGTCGTAGACATGTATCATACCTTCAAAGGTCAACCATCATATATCTGTAGTCTGTCGTAGACATGTTTCATACCTTCAAAGGTCAACCATCATATATCTGTAGTCTGTCGTAGACATGTATCATACCTTCAAAGGTCAACCATCATATATCTGTAGTCTGTCGTAGACATGTATCATACCTTCAAAGGTCAACCATCATATATCTGCTCTATTGGTTTGTGTAGTCTAGTGTACACATGTATCATACATTCAAAGGTCAACCATCATATATCTGCTCTATTGGTTTGTGTAGTCTGATCAACTCAGGTTTCAGATCTTGACTCTTTTGTATTGTATACATGTTTCCCTTTAAAGATGGACAGAACCATAATATTCTCATTTGATGCGTAAATAGAAATATGTGTGCTTTTTTAGCTATTACAGTTATGTGTGGATCTGGATGGGAACAGTTAATGAATAGTTGTTACTACTTTCAATTACAATCAAAGAAGACATGGAATGATGCAAAGGTATGCATATTTATATCAAATATTAGCAAACGAACTGATATTTTATAAAGATAAGACGAGAACGCCAAGCACGTGATACTAAAACATTTGCATGATGTTAATGAAAAAAATGTACGAATTTCAGATTGCCGACACACCCTTCCGCTACTTATACATTTCTATTCAAAATAAGCGTATGTTCCATGTTGCTTATCACATTTGTCCATTTTGTTCTTCGATATATGTATTTTCACCCATTCACGTTTTTCATGGCAATCAGCGTCGAATTGACAATGAAATGAACAGTACGTTGTACAATAAAACCGAACAAGTATCGCAACGTAGTGCATGTAAATAAGTGTATATCAATATTCTAGCCAAAGACGAATTTCCAGTCGTTGACATGATGCAATAAAATGTACTCGAAAATATATGACAATGGCAACTCTTTACAATGCAGCAATATTAACTTTGCAAATGAATTGCGTATTAAAAAGTAATGCCATTTATTTTTTTAATACGAATTTGATTAGCTCGAATATTACCTCGCCAAAACGGACTTGCTTATTATTGTTGCTGAACACAATTCATCTAGTCGATATCGAGAGCAAAGTATAACTTTTCTATAAAAGTTAACTGCACTTTTAAGTTGAAATTATTTTTAACACTTTGTATAAATATGCAAGAAATAAAACCAAATTATAATCATGGTAGTATATTTCCTTGTTTTTTTCAAAAACAAAGTTGGCTGGTTATTTAGTCCGATACATGTTGGTGCAATGAAGATAATTAATACTTCTTAATTAGCACTTCGCTGTTGACATGAATATCAATTATATGGTCATTTGTATAAATTTCCTGTTACAAAACTTAGAATTTTTCAAAAAACTAAGGATTTTCTTATCCCAGGAATAGATAACCTTAGCCGTTTTTGGCACAACTTTTTGGAATTTTGGGTCCTCAATGCTCTTCAACTTTGTACTTGTTTGGCTTTATAACTATTTTGATCTGAGCGTCACTGATGAGTCTTATGTAGACGAAAAGCGTCTGGCGTATTAAATTATAATCCTGATACCTTTGATAACAATTAACTATTTTTAGCACTTAAACTGGATTTAAATGCACTTATTTTGTAGATTGATTGTCGTAACAGGGGAGGATTTCTTGTCAAAATTGACAATGCCTTTGAAAACTGGTTCTTGAAATTCTTTATAAGTAAGCATTTTTTTTTATTATAGTAGTAAATACTTTTATACACTGTTCATAATTTTCCATATTGTTGGTCTAAATTTTGTATCTGATAAAATAAGATGTTACCCCTTTTAATAAAAGGTACTGATGAATTGACAGGAAAAGTCTGAAAATACATAGCTATTTAAAGTAATAGAATATTTTAAAACAAGACTTATCGCATTCTCGGTCAATTATCGATAATTTGTTAAAACACGATTTATGTTGTTTTTATTCAAAATATTATGATTTAGCTGCGATAAGGCTAAAATCAGATTGCTTGAAATCCATTATTATGAAGAATATAAGCAAACAGTGAATATTTTTAAAAGTAAGACCGATAATTTTGTAGCAACATATGAACTGAATTATTTTTATCATCTCGATTTACTTACTTCGTTCTCAAATTTCTATGACAATAGTTCTGACATCATTATGTTTATTTTAAGATAAGAGCCAAGGTGACTTTTGGATTGGAGCACACGATTCTGTACGAGAAGGACGCTTTGTATGGGAAGCTGACAATACACCACTTACTTATACTAATTGGAATCCTGGCAAACCAAACAATGCTGGCAACAAAGAAGACTGTGCATATTTCTTTTCTGGGGATATAAGCAAATGGAATGATGCCCCATGTTCATATACAACTTTTTACATTTGTGAGAAACATTAAGCTAAACGTACTATCATATAATTGTGTAGAATATTTAGGGACTACACCCTGTTAATAATGCGACAATAGCTTAGCAGTTGTTTAATTCGCTCTCTTATAAGAAAAAGAGTGTGTCCTTTTTTGGAAATTTTGATAGCGCTCGATAGTCAAAACAATAGGAACACACAAATCAAATTAGAAAAAGTAGAGCACTTAAACAAATAAAAGTTCGTAAAAGTAGCGCCATTTTATATCTGTTAAGACCATTTTCAAAGTTTTTTAAATGGTGATTTTACAAAACATTAGCTTGTCATTTATATTTAATGTCAACAGGATAACTTACCAGCTAACCTGTGATATCCTTGATTAAACGTAGGCAGTTGTATCACCCCGATCGTTATAAATACAGATCTACGATAAGTGTTGATAGTTTTCTAAGACACAAAGAAATCCTATAAATAAATCTCAGAAATACATCAAAATATTATCTGAATTTTATTATTTGTTTGGAGAAAAAGAAAATGAATGTATAATAACATTTATAAGAACATGAACAAAGAGTAAGATATATTTACAAGATGTTTAATACCAAAGAAGAAGTTTTACTAGATTATTATACAAGTTACTCTTATAAAAGATGTCGCATTTAACCAATGTTCAAGACGACTTTATGTAACTCAATAACACTTGAAATGAGATTGAACTCTGACCTTGTTTTTAGTGAAATAAGAAACTCTCCCTATAACATTGAATATAGACGAACAAAAGATTTGTCTAATTTAAGGTTTCGAAAAACATTACATCATTGTTTACAATATGCATATTATCTTAACGTTTTAAGACACATTATTCTTACTTTGAGACATCTAGGCAATTTTAAATTCGTGATTTGTCCGATTGAAAATCAAATTCACCCAATTCATAAACAGTAAAATGCAAACATAACGACACTATTCCCATAAACAAGCTTATTGTCCTGATTTCAATATGTTTGCAAAACAAAATACATGATAAACAAGTTGCTGCAAATTATTCTATAACATTAAGACTGACATGTAGTTTATACAGGGAATGTTTATCACATAACACATACTTGTTTTGACCTCACTGGATAACTGTTATTTAAGAGCAAGTGCCAGAAACATAAAAAATGGCATTTTATATATAATTAAAAGATATTGATGATTACTGTTCAAAAGGGTATATTGTGACTAACAATAGTCGGTGAAAGATGTTTTGCATGTGCTTACTATGGATTCATTATTATTTATGGGGTACCAATTTTCGATGATTTCGTGAGTACAGGGAAACCTCAAATATTAATTTCAACGAAATATAAGTTTACTTCACACTCTTCGTTAAGCACAAAATCAAATATCCACGAAATGCACGAAAATTGGTTCCCACGAAAATGAATTTATTCACAAATTTTAGCTTCGTTATTAATAAAACATTAACACTGTATAACTGTGTTATGACCGCATATTTTTCAGTTCCCTTCAGTAGGAAAGTTCTAACTTAAATATTGAAAGCCACAGATGTTTAACTGCCTAAACTAGTGAAAAGTTTTATGACCGCAAGGGATATAAAATAAACAACAAGTCCACGTAAAGTCAAAATTAGAACTATATATAGATTTTTTTAAACAATATCTGAATTATAAACGTAGAATATAATTACACAAAATTATTATAAATTATGTGAGTAATTTGCACCAGATTTAATCCTATTCACACACACAGACTTTGATATTTCCTATCCATGTGCAAATTGTTAAGTATGTACTTTATCGAATTAAACACAAGATACTAGAAGACGTCAATGAAAGAAGTTGAAGTAAACTCATTATAGATACAAGGATTGATTTTTTGTACGCAAGACGCGCGTTTCGTGTTAAAAAGACTCATCAGTGACGCTCGAATAAAAAAAGTTAATAAGGCCAAATGAAATACGAAGTTGAAGAGCATTGGGGACCCGAAATTCCTAAAAGTTTTGCCAAATACAGCTAAGGTAATCTATTCCTTGGGTAGAAAATCTTTATGTGAATTTTCAAAGTATATAAAGTTTATTTTCAAAGTATACCTACAATAACGTATCTCATTTGGTATGAGGTAGTTTCATGTTTGTATCGATAAATCAGAACTCCAATTAACTGAGTATAATATATGGATATGTTCTTCAAAGTTTGACGTATCGTTAGTGAGTCAACATTAGGTTTTTGTTTTATAAATCAATACAAAACCTTTTGATTACATTAAGCTCACGCTAGATCAAATAATTATATTCAGATTTTACCCCTTGCATAATAGATAATATCATTGTACCGACTATACGGTATGGGTTTTTCTCAGTGTTGAAGGCCGTATGGTTGCCTATAATTGCTTACATCAACTTTATTTGAACTTTGGTGAATAGTTGTTTCATTGGCAATCATACTTCATCTCCTTATTTTCTATATCAATCTGAAACTGAATAAAGTTTAAGCTGTCGGCTATGCTTTTGGCGCAACGTTTGCGTTCATTTGAGTATGTATTTACATTATGGCATAAACTTTCTTAGTAATAGCACTAACCTAAGGTATAGCGTAGAACATTTTGATCAATATTTTAAGACCTTGTTGATTTATGCTTGATTTTCTGTTGAAGTCTCACATTACCTCTTTTACATATTAACACAAACAGTATAGTGTCAATGCACATAATATATTAAAGCTTAATGACGCTGTGGTTTTTTTTTGTGCTTGCTATTAAACGTCAAATTTTGGCATTATTCGATTCTGATCATTTAAGCACTTACTTAAATAAGTAGGATAAAAAGTAGAGGAGAATATTAAACTAGCAAAATAAAAACGCTGATCTATAAATCTGCGTTAATTCAAGCATCAAAAAGTTTATCGAGTATATTTTGGCAGGATTTTCACCAATGTACATCCCTTTTTGTTGGTACTCAACAACTGCGATATTAGCAAGTCCCTTCCGCCGTTTTTCTTTTGCTTCATCTTACTCTCCATAAATAACATTGTGGCACAGGAAACAATTACCTTGTACAGATATATACGAGTACTACACCCTGTACATTTTGGAGGCTATGAAACAAATCCTTGTTTTTAAACATCAAAACTACCGTATTACATATGAGTTAAAGTCTTTAATCTATATATAAAAATCGTCGGTTGACGTGAGAAACCATAAGGGTTCTGGTTACAACATATGAGAAATAATTATATTGTTAATTAAATTCGAATTATTTTCATTTTGAAGGAAAAGTCACATATTTTGTTTTTAAAATATTAGAAACAGAAACGGACAGCGCAATTTAGGTCGTTTGAAACCATGAGTCAAGTCACTAAAATCTAATAATAGATTTATTTGATTAAAGAGACCTGGTCTGTTCGATAGATTATATGTTGTGGTACAATATAAAAATAAGGAGATGAGGTTTGATTGCCAATGAGACATCTATCCACCAAAGTTCAAATAAAGTAGATGTATTCAATTACAAGAAAGCATACGGCCTTCAATAATGAGGAAAACACACATACCGTATAGACCGCTATCAAAGACCCCGACATGAAAAATATGAAGCATTTCTATTGAGAAAACTAACTTATTTATTACAAAAATAATTTACGAAAAACAAATATGATAGACATGAACCAAAGACAACCACTAAAAGGCTCCTGACTTGGGACCAGCACATGAGGATTGTGGCGTTGTTTAAAAATTTTTGCTGGCGCTCAACCCTAACCATAACTTGGGACACAGGTGAAACAGTACAACATAAGAACAAACTATAAATATCACTTTGCAATTTCCTGGGAGAAATGCATTTTGATTTATATTTAATACTTAATCGGTTGTTTTTCTGTTTGTACACTGTTTGACGCTGAATCCAATGGAAATAGTGTCAAATGATAGGTGTTTTTCGTTTGTAACCCTATAACTATTCTCTACCATTGTTAGTATTCAGTATAATTACTTTTCTGAATTTGTCTTCCTTACATGACTTGTCTTCCTTAAATATGAAAAATCATATTTTTTGAACGACGAGGATGATGATAATGATGTTGAGGAGGAGGAGGAGGAAGAGGATGTCCTATGCATTTTTTTGGAAATATCAGCATTTTCATTTGAAAAAAAACCCCTCTTAATTCAAATATTACTGATCAATGATTAATGTTTCGTTTTGCAAAAAAAAGAAAGTACAGATGTATCATGAACTTTATAGATAATTAACAACTTTCAATACATTCAACTAATTTCTCTTTATAGCATCAGACAATTTTTTAATTTAATGTTTTTCACAAATGTATCCCAATTTCACCGAACATGGAGCGTCATTCCATTTGCAAGACCTGCTTTGAAAATGAACACAGTCTTCACCATTTCTCAAATTATCCGGCTGGCTAGGACTCCAGTCAGTAAATGTAACTGATGTATTGTCAGACACCCAAATAAAACGAGATTATCGCATTGAATCATGTGCTCCAATTCAAACATTTGAGCCTAAAATGCCAAAAAAAACTAAGTTGAAATACCATGCACTAATGTTCGATGACGGGATATAACTGATAAAAACTGATTTTTTTTCTTGGAATTTGTAATCGACTGATTGGTTATTAGTTGCGTTACATTAATCAACAATCATACTTTTATATTCGATATTGTATGCCTTATTTCTTTCCTTTCATAATTTTACTTAAAGTCGACTATGTACAAACTGTTCAATTCTTTCTATTTCGTATTGCCAGTAGTGTATCCAACAATGACAAGTTCTTGTTTTTAGAGTTACGTTCAAAGAAAGACGTGACCTCGCCAAGTTTTCAATATAGCTTTAAGAAGCGATGTAAAAGGAGTATTGCCACCAAAAGCCTTAAATTGGCTACTAACAATCTTTGGTATAACAGATCTAAAAAATAGAAAACAACACGTTTAATAATTTCATGCGTCCGAAGCGCTTTTTTGGATTTATCTTCATCAGGAACGCTCAAAGCCAAACATTTGAAATCCGAAGGATGTATAAGTACCGAAACAGTTGAAGATAAAATATGAAAATGTAGATAAACAAACACTTTTGTTGTCTGCTGTTCGTTCAAACCAAGTATGATATTTAACAAGTATTTTAGCCACATAGTCTGTTTTATATGCATTTGTATGGACTACTTCCTTTCGAAAATCATTGGCCACACCCTTTGACCAACATAAAATTGTAATAAAAAGATGTATATGGGTTAGATACAAATTCTAACAAACATTATAGTGGTCCTTGTATGGCGTTTGTCGATTAAAGCAAATATTAAAATAGAGGCAAAAAAATTGTCAAAATTGCTTTACATCATAAATGTTCTAGTGCGATAGAGCTTGTTGAATTTGTATTTGTTAGATATTTTTACATATTTTGTGGTCATTCTTTATTCATTTTACTAAAGATAATTTTTACGGAATTTTTGGGCCAACATGGTCCCCCAGTTAACATGTTAAGCTACTCCTTTGCTGATACGGTTTTTAAAAATCTTTCCATGAAATTTATAATAGAAATACTTATTTTTAAGTTTGATAGAGGATTGCTGCTCACAAGGAAGCTATTAAAC